AATTTTCTATATTTTTTTATATTTGTTGAAAGAAACATTAAAATTTGAAAATTTTCTTCAAGTAACCATATATTTTTTTTTATTTTTTAAACAAAAATATATATGTATATTTAATTATTTATTCAATTAAAAAATGATAAATATTAACATTCAACATTTATTAAAAAAAAACAATTACTTTAAAAAAATTATCATCATAAATTATTTTATCATTTCTTCTCAAACAATTCAACCGAAAATAAAAATTTCTTTCTTTAAAAAAAGGATATATTAAAATTGAATATTTTTATATTTTAATAATTTCTTTCCTTATATATTATTTATATTAAAATATTTTAATTATTTAAAAATTATCTCCTTATTATTTTATTAATATTATTAATGTGATAATTTTAATCTTTTAAATTTTAAATTGTTTTATCATTTTTTTTAATTTTATATAATATTTTATTTATAATGCAATTATATTATTTATAATTATGTTTCAGATTTTATTTTTTTAACATAAATTATTTTAATTCTATAAAATTTTTTTATTATTTAATTAAAATTTTTGTTCCATTTAAAATTAAAATTTTGTCTATATATATATTTAAAAAATATTTTTTTCTTATATTTTTATTTTTATTTAAATGAATTAAATTAAAATTAAAAAAAGTAAATCATGATTTATTTTATTATATATATTTTTATTATATTAAAGTCATTTTTATCATATATTTCATTTTTTTCTCAAAAATCTTTCTGAATTTTTGATCACATTTAAATAATGTTCATCAGAGACACATATTTATTTCATTAAAATATGAAAAAAAATTGTTTTGCCTGAATATTTGTTTGTATTTTAATACATGCATTTTTGTTTCATTTAAATTATGACAAATAATTTTTATCATGAAATTTTATATATCATAATAATACGTTTTTATTTATGACTGAATATAAATCTAAATTCATATTTAACATTGTTTATTCATTAACCAGTTTCATTTTTTTTTTTTTTTTCACGATTAAATTTAAAAATTTCTTCCAAATTATTTTTCATTAAAATTTATAAATTGTCCAGGAATGAAAATTTATTTGAATAAAATATAGTTTGATTTTTTTTTCGCCATAACATGTAAAAAATTTTATTTTTTTTTTTTATTTTTTTTGTTAATTTTAATTTCGATCAATTTTTTTAATTTTACAATAATTTTATTTATTGTTTGCTGGTTTATTAATATTTTTGTTTAATAAAAAAGATATTTTTTTAATTTATTTTTAAAAATTTTTTAGAATTCAATTTTTTTTTGCTTTTGTTTAAATATAGTTTTTTGTTTTTTTGTTGAATTTTTATCAAAACATAATTTGTTAATTTCAAATAATTTTATTATTTTTTTATTTTTAACAAACAGGAAATTTTTTTTTCAATATTAAATAATAATGTAAATTTTTTTAAATTATTTTTTAGAATCATGAATTTTTTTAAAAATTTTTTTTTGTTTTCTGCCCAAAACAAAACAATATTAATCTTTAAAAATGTATGTTTTAAATTCACTAGATATTTTTTTTTTATAAAAATTTATTGTCAGGTCACTATTTTATTGAATTTAAAAAAGTTTATGAAATTATTAAATAAATTTTAAACTTTTTATTTCAAAATTTTTTTTTAATGATGTCATTTCCGTTATTATTATTAATTATTATTATTATTATTATTATTATTATTATTATTATTATTATTATTATTATTTTTTTTTTGATTTCTGGCGTTTACACATTTCTTTCCGGGTCCCGCCCAGGGACCTAAGGTTAGAAATGGCATCATGACACTTTCCACTGACAAAAAAAAAAAAAAAAAAAAAATTACATAGATAAAGCCCTTCGTAAAGTGTGGGCTGTACTTGTCAGAACAATTTTTTGTATCTCCTTGAGGCATGGACTTCCAGGAATCCCTTCAATTAGTCTACTGCAATCTTTTCCAACCAATCCTAGGGCTCCAACTACAACAGGGATTGTTGATGTTCCCATATGCCACATTTTCGAGATTTCTATTTCAAGGTCCTTGTATTTTGACAACTTTTTGAATATCTTCAAAGATACATTGCTGCAGTCAGCAGGGACTGCCATATCAATAAGGAGGCACCGTTTTTTTTTTGTGGTCTTTAATAACAATATCTGGCCGGTTGGCCTTGATTGTTCTGTCAGTGTGTATTGTGTAGTCCCATAGAATTGTAACAGGTCCTATCTCCGTAACCGGGTCTGGGTGGTGTTCATACCAGTTTCTTTCAGTTTCTTCCCGTAGAAGTTGCAGATTTTCCAGTGCAGATATTGGCCCACTCTGTCATGTCGGGTTTTATATTCAGTGGGTGCCAACATCGTATTACCTGATACAAGATGATCAATCGTTTCTGGATATTTATCACAGAATCTGCATTTTGGGTTGACACAATATTTTAGTATATGTGCTTGATAATTCCTAGTTAGCAAGTATTGGTCCTGGATGCAATTAAGGATAAAACCTTCAGTTTCTCCTTTTAAAACCCTGCACTACGTTTTTACTGATGGGTTTTTTTATATACGTCAGTTTGTTTGGTACGGGCAAAGTATTGACTAATTGAAATTTTATCTTGCCATTGGAATTGTATTAGTGGTCAAATGTATTTGTCTTTTTTTTTATTAAAAAGTTTTTTTAGTTTCATTTTAAATATTTTTGTTTTTTTTTTACATTAAATTTTTCAAAAAATTTGTTGAAATTTTTTATTTATTTTTGAATTAAAATATAAACCCACTAAGACATAATATTTATTTCACATCGAAAGAATTAAAAATATTATTAATTAATTTTTTTTTTTGAGGTTAGTAAAAAATAATATTTATCCTCAATTTATAAACTATTTTGTTCAAATTTTGATTTATAATTTTTTTTTTTTTTACATATAATTAAAGTTTGTCGTATTTTTATTAAAGAAATGACATAAATTTATGAAATTTTTATTTTTATCATCCTGAAATAAAAACATTCTTTGTTTAAAAAAAAATTTGAAATTTTTTTGACATTTAAAAATCAAATTTTTAAAAATTATTTTTTTGCTATCTAAGGTTTTACCAAAATTTTTGAGTAATTTAAAATTTCATATTTATTTGTGGGTGTTTTTTTTAAAAAATTTTTAATTCAGCAAATTAATTTCTTTCAAAATGAATAAACAATGATCAAGAATTTTAGGGTAAAAAAATTAAATCTTATTGAAATTTCATTTATAATTGGACTTGAATGTTAAACAGATTTCTTCGAATTTTCCTTTTTTTGATTTAATAGTAAAATTTATTTTGGTAAAAGTCATTACATTTTTTTTTTGATGTTAAAATTTAACGATAATTTTCACAAATTCATATTGGTAAAAAAAATATTGTCCGTTTTCATTAACAAAATTTTTGAACCATTTTAATATTTTTTCTTTTCAGTTCATTCTTTTTTTGATTTAATCATTCTAATTTTTAATTTATTCTTTTTTTTTTTTTCTCAAATATATTTTACATTTTTTTAATTCACGATTTTTATTGTTTTTTTTTTATAAAATAAAAATTTATTACAAATAAATTTCTATTTAAATTTTCGATTCTAATATCCTTTCATAAACTATTTAAAAGTCAAAGAAATGTTTATATAAATATTTATTTATTATTTTATATTAAAGAAAAAAATTCAATTTTAAAAAAAAAAATCAAAATTTCAGAATTTTCTTTGAAAATTAGTTTAAAAATTGGTAAAATACAATGTTATTAGTCAAAAAGACGAGATTAAATATCAAAAATGAAGAAAAAATAAAAAAATAAATAATCTTGGAAACAGAAAAATTTCAAAATGTTGGCATTTTTGGAATTATTGATATATATTTTACCTTTTAATTCGATAAATTTATTCTAAATTGCATGAAAAATGAAAAATCGCAATTTTCTTTAATTTAAATTTTTTCTCTAATAGGGAATTTTTTGTCCATATATTCATTAAAAAAAATACAAAAATAAAAATGATTTTTTTATTAAATATTTTTTTAAAAAAATTTTTTGGAAAAAAATGAAAAAAAACATTAATAATTTAATAAATTTTTTTTTTTTTTTTAGTTTATCAAACAATAAAATTTGATTGAAATCTTTTAAAAAATTTTAAAATCCAAAAGGATTTATTTCAAAAAATTATTTCTTTTTTAATTTTAAAAATATATGTTTCAATAATGATAAATAAAAGAAAAATTTTATAATTAATTAATTTTTTTTAATTTTTTTATTTTAAAATTTAATTTTCAAAGATATAATGTGTTATTATAAAAAACCAGAATTTTGATTTAAAAAAAATTTTCCTTCTATTTTTTGTCAATAATATATAAATAAACAATATATAATGAAATTAATAGGTTTTAATTTTCTGATTAAAATATTTTAATCGAAATTTAAATATTTTTTTAAATATATAATCTTTACATTTTTTTTTTATTACTTAAATTGGAGTTTTAAATTGTTTGAAAAAATTTTTAATGATTTTTTTTTTTATTTTATTATTTTTTTTTTTTTTAATTTTTTTCATTGAAAATAAAAATGGGGTTTCTTTTTTTTTTTTGTTTTTTTTTTTCAAAATTTATATTTAGATTTTTCATTGACGTTGTCAAATATTCGAAAAGCAGGATTTTTTTAAAGAAATAAAGTAAATTCTATTTGTACATCTTTTTATTATTTTTATTAATTGAAATGAAATTTGATGCCATTTTTTGATTTGAAAATTTCTTGTTAAAGTTAAAAATAATTCCATTTTCTTAAAAAATTTTTTATGATTTTTGTAAAAATGAATTTATTTCTTTTCAAAAAGGTAAATTTGATCCATAAATGTTATTTTTATACATATTTAACCTTTTTAATGGAATATTTTTTTTTTTTATTTGAAATATTCATGTTTTTTTATTTTTTTTTTTTAATTTATATATAAATTTTTTTTTAAATTTAAATTCATATATATTATCTGTATGATTCTTTTTTTTTTCTTTCTTCAATGTTTTTCTTTAATTTCGTTAAAAATTTCTGAATTTTGTTTTAAAGATTTTTAAATTTTAAAATATTTTTTATTCTCGTCAAATTTTCATTGCATTAAATCGTTTGTTTTCTTTTTTTCTTCAATTATATCTTTTGATTCTTTAAACATTTTTTTTTTTTTTTTTGCCAATATCTTTCTTCCATTTCAAAATTCCTTTTTGGTTTTGTAATTTTTTTTTTTTTTTAAACTGAAATTTCTTTTTTCTTTTTTTATTTTAGATTTTTATGTTTTATTCCGTTGACAAATCATGTTCTTTTGTTATCAAAATTTTCTTTCAATTCTTTTTTTTAAAAATGGTAAATTTTTTTTTTTATTTTATATTTTTTTCTTTATATATATTTATTTTTCAAAAATTTCAAATTGGTCCTTTTTTAATGAATAAAATCAATGAATTTTTTCTTTTTTCTTTTCTCCTTCATTTACATTATTAAAAATTAAATGAAACTTTTTTTTAGTTCTTTTAAATTTTTAATTCTTTGTATAAAAATTTTCCATTTCTTTATCTCAATTTTTTATTTATATAATAGATTTAAATCAAATTTATTTTGAAAATTTTGGATTCATTTCTCTTTTTAATTTAAAAAAAAAAAAAGAGAATAAAATTTTTTAATTCAAATCATTTTTTTTGTTTATCTGATTTTTTTAATTTTTATTTTTTTCTTTTTTTATTTTTTTTTTTTATTTGGAACAAATTTAATTTGATAGTAATTTAAATTTTTACTTTAAATTTTCTTAATCTTTTGTTTTTAAACTGAATTTCATTTTTATTTTTTAAAATGCTGAAATTTTTTTTTTAAATTTTTTTAGACAATAAAAACATTGAATGGAATAAATTAAAAATTTTTTTGGATTTTTTTTCATTTTTTATATAATTTGTAAAATGTCATTCTTTCTTTTATTTTTTTTTTTTTTTCTTCCATTTATCCTTTAATTTTTAGATTTTTTTCTTTTCTGGTTAAAAAAAAAACAATTTATTTTTTTTTTCTTTTATTTTAATATTTTTTGATCTAAAATTTCCTTGCATTAAATTCTTTTGGAAATTATTTTTTTCTTTTTAAAATTTTTGCATTTAAAAATTTTTTTTTGAAAAAATCTTTATTTTTTTTCTTTATTGTCAAAACATGTTTTTTTTTCAAACAAATAATTTTTTTTTTATAACTTTTTTCTTTCAGTTATTTTTTTCTTTTTCCATTTTTATTTTTTTTTTTTATTCTTTTTTTTTTTCTTTCTTTTTTTTTTTTATTTTTTTTTATACTTTCTTCTTTTTTCTTTTTTTTAATGACTTTTTTCTTCTTTCTTTCTTTCTTTTGCCAGTTTTTCTTTTTCTTTTTTTTTTCTTTTTTTTTTTTCTTTCCTTTTTTTTTTTTTTCTTTTTTTCCTTTTTTTCTTTGTTTTTCTTTTTCTTTTTTTTCCTTCTTTTATTTTTTAAACTTCTTCATTCTTTCTTTTTTTTTTTTCTTTTTCCATTTTTTTCTTATTCTCTTTCTTTCTTTTTTTTTTCATTCGCATCTTTTCTTTCTTTTTTTTTTTCTTTCTTTCTTTTTTTCTTCATTTTTACATTTTCTTTTTTTTTTCTTTCATTTTTTCATTCATTGTAACGTTTTTTTCCATTTTTTTTTTCTTTTTTCTTTTTTTTTCTTTTTTTTCTTTTTTTTGATTCTTTCTTTTTTTTCTTCATTTTTTTCTTTTTGCTTTTTTTTTTTTTTAATTTTAATTTTCTTTCTTTTTTCTTTTTTTTTTTTCTTTTTTTTTTTTTTCCAATTTATTTTTTTTTTTTCTTTTTTCATTTTCTTTTTTTTTTTATTTTTTTTTTTTATTTTTATTTCAAAAATTTTTTTTTTTTTTTCTTTTTTTTTTTTCTTTCTTTTTTCTTTCTTTTTTCTTTCTTCTTTTTTCTTTTTTTTTTTTCTTCTTTTTTTCTTTCTTTCTTTTTTTTTCATTTTTCTTCTTTCTTTTCTTTCATTCTTTCTTTTTTTTCTTTCTTTCAATTTTCTTTTCCATTTTTAATTCTTTCTTTTTCTTTTTTTTTTTCTTTTTTTTCTTTCTTTTCTTTCTTTCTTTTTTTTCTTTTATTTTTAGCTTTTTAGATTTTTTCTTTTTCTTTCTTTCTTTTTTTTTTTAATTTTTTTCTTTCTTTTTTTATTTTTTTTTCTTTTTCTTTTTTTTTTTTTTTTTTCTTCTTTCATTCTTTTTTTCTTTTAGTTTTCCTTTCTTTCATTCTTTTCTTCTTTCTTTTTTCTTTTCTTTGTTCTTCTTCTTTCAAAATTCTTTTCTTTCTTTTTTTTTTTTTCAAGAAATCATTCTTTCTTTCTTTCTTTTCTTTATTTTTTTTTTCTTTCTTTCTTTCTTTAACTTTTCTTTCAAAATTTTAAATATTTTCTTTCTTTTCTTCCATTCTTTCTTTCTTTCTTTCTTTCTTTTTTCTTTCTTTTTTTCTCTTTCTCTTTCTTTTTTCTTTCTTTCTTTTTTTTTTTTCTTTAAGTTCTTTCAGGTTTTTTTTGTTCTTTTCGCTTCTTTCTTTCTTTCAAGAGAATTTTTTCTTTTTTCTTTTCTTCTTTTTTTTTTTTTTTCCTTCTTTCTTCTTTTCTCTTTCTTTAAATCTTTTTCTTTTTCATTTCAGTCTTTTTTTTTCATTCTTTTCTTTCTTTTCTTTCTTTATTTTTTCTTTCAAAAGTTTTCTTCTTTTTTTTTTCTTCTTTCTTTTCTTTCTTTTTTTCTTTCTTTTTCTTTCTTCATTTCTTTCTTTCTTTTTTTTCTTTCTTTTTTTTCTTTTTTCATTGAGTTTTTTCCTTTTTTTCTTTTTTCTTTCATCTTTCTTCCTTTCTTTCTTTCAAAAATTTTTTTTTTTTTTTTCTTTCTTTTTTTTTTTCTTTGTTTTCTTTCTTTCTTTTCTTTCTTTCCTTCTTTCTTTTTTCTTTCATTTATTTTTTTTTTTTTTCTTTCTTTTTTTTTGTCCATATTCTTTCTTCTTTTTTTTCTTTCTTTTTTTTCTTTCTTTCTTTCTTCTTTCTTTTTTTTTCTTCCATTTTTCTTTCCTTCTTTCTTTCCTTTTTTTTTCCTTTTTCTTTCTTTCTTTCTTTTTTCTTTTTTTCTTTTTATTTTTTTTCTTTTTTTTTTTCTTTCTTTTTCTTTTCTTTTTTTTTCTTTCTTTCTTTCTTTTCTTTCTTTCTTTCTTTTTTTTTTCTTTTTTCTTTTCTTCTTTTTTCTTCTTTTTTTTCTTTCTTTTTTTTTTTTATTTCTTTCTTTTTTTCTTTCTTTTCTTTCCTTCTTTCTTTCTTTTTTTCTTTCTTTTTTTCTTTCTTTCTTTTTTTTTCTTCCATTTTTCTTTCCTTCTTTCTTTCTTTTTTTTCTTTCTTTCTTTCTTTCTTTCTTTTCTTTCTTTCTTTTCTTTTTTTTCTTTTTTTCTTTTTTTTTTCTTTCTTTTTTTCTTTCTTTCAGATCCTTCTTTCTTTTATGTTCTTTTTTTCTTTTTTCTTCTTCTTTCTTTTTTTTCTTTCTTTTTTTTTTCTTTCTTTTTTTTCCTTTTTTTTCTTTCATTTTTCTTTTCTTTTTTAATTTTTTCTTTCAATCTTTCTTCTTTCTTTCTTTTCTTTTTCTTTTTTTTTTTCTTTCTTTCTTTCTTTCTTTTTTTCTTCATTCTTTCTTTTTTTCTCATTGATTCTTTCTTTCCTTAATTCTTTCTTTTTGTTTCTTTCTTTCTTTCTTTATTTCTTTCCTTCTTCTTTCTTTTCTTTCTTTCAAAATTTCTTTTCTTCTTTCTTTCTTTTCTTTTTTTTTCTTTCCTTCTTTCTTTCTTTCATTTCTTTTTTTCTTTCTTTTCTTTCTTTCTTTCTTTCCTTCTTTCTTTCTTCTTTCTTTCTTTTTTTCTTTTTTTTTTTTCTTTTCCTTCTTTCTTTTCTTTTCTTTCTTTTCTTTTCTTTTCCTTTTATTCTTTCTTTTCTTCTTTCTTTCTTTCCTTCTTTCTTTCTTTCTCTCCTTCTTTTCTTTCTTTCCTTTTTCTTTCTTTCTTTTCTTCCTTCTTTTTCCTTCTTTCTTTCTTTCTTTTTTTTTCCATTCTTTCTTTCTTTTTCTTTCTTTCTTTTTTTTCTTCCTTTCTTTCTTTCCTTCTTTCTTTTTTTTTTTTCTTTCTTTCTTTCTTTCCTTCTTTCTTTCTCTTTTTTCATTTCTTTCTTTCCTCCTTCTTTTTTCTTTTTCTTCCTTTTCTTTGTTTTTCTTCTTTCTTTCTTATTTCTTTCCTTTTCTTTCTTTCCTTCTTTCTTTCTTTTTTCATTTCATTCTTTCTTCCTTTTTTCTTTTCTTTTTCTTCTTTTCTTTCCTTCTTTCTTTCTTTTTTTTCCAAAACTTTCTTTCCTTCTTTCTTTCTTTTTTTCTTCAATCTTTTCCTTTTTTGTTTTCTTTTCTTTTTTTCTTTATTCTTTCTTTCATTCTTTTTTTGCTTTTTTTCTTCTTTCTTTTTTCCTTCTCTCTTTGGGACTTTTTTTTTCTAGTCCTTTTTATTGTTTCATTATTTTTTTAATTTTTATTTTTATATTATATTTTCTTCCTATCAATCAGGACCATAAATTTTGTCTCATTATTTTCATTTTTAATTTGTTTTTTTAATTATATTCTCATCGATTTTCTATATTTTATGAAAAGTTTTCTTTCATTCTTCCGTTTCTATTTCATTCTCACTTTCCTCCTAAGAAAAGAAATAACTTTTTTTCTATATCTTTCTCGTTAACTTTTTTACATTCCAATCATTGTTCAATTTCTTCTTTCATTCTTTCTTTCATTTCTTCTTTCTTTCATTTTTTCTTCCATTCTTTCTACGTTTTTTTCCATCTTCTTTTCTTTTTTTCATTCTTTTCGTTTGTATCATCATTTGCCGCTTTCTTTTTTTTTATCCTATTTTCTAGAACTCATTTCCAATCACTCCTCTCGTCATTGCCATTGTGACTATATTTTCCACGAAACAACAATTTTTCTTTCGCCACAAACATGAGCCGCTGATGATTTATGCAAAAAATGTGAAAATTAAATTACTGACAACTGGAAACTATTCTCAATTGCGCCAAAACCGTAAATATCGCCAGGGGTATTCTTAACTTGTTAGGTGCATTATATTAAAAAATAAAAAATAAAAATAAAAAAATATATAAAAAAGAGCAGCATTTACTTTTTTTTTCTTTTTTTCCACTTCTACCTTAGATAATTTTTGTAAAAAATATCCCCAGTGATTAGTTCAAACGATGCAGTGTTACTTAATTGAAAATATCGAGAATTTCCGACATCTTCAAAGTGGCTTTTACAGTCTTAGTATGATTGCTACCATTTCAGAAAAAGCAATGCTTTAGGGCGTTCGAAAAGCAATGACCTTTTATGGGAATGAAAATTATATAAATATAAACGCCCTATTTTTGCTAACTCCCCTCACTATTCTGTTTTTTGTTTTTGTTTTTTTGGGGGTTTTTTTTTTGCTTTTTTTTATGATATCACCCTATGCAAGGTAATAATGTCACTACGACACATCTGGTTACCGAGTGTGAAAAAATTAAGAAAAAGCCGAACTATTTGTAAGGCGTGAGAACAATAAAAGAGTAATCAAAAGACAGCAGATAACGATAGACATTATATTAAAATATGTGAATATCAAAGTTGGGTGGAAAGTAAGGAAGTTCTAAACGAAGTGTGAGAAAACCATTTGTGGAAAGAATTTATGTTACCTCTAGCCAACAATTGTAAATTGATGAGACCTCATCACCACTCTAGTACTGCCCTAAATTCATAAAATCTAGGTGCCTTGACGAAGAGCGATGTCTATTTGTAAATATTTACAAAATGTGGCACAAGGTCCAAATTGGAGAATGGAGTAAATGCTGGTCTTCTTTTGTCTTAAATTTAAACTTAGCTAGCCACCAACACTGACCCAAACATACCACAATATTCCTTACACCAAAACAACACATTCTAACTTACCTTTCTTACTACATTCACCATAATACCTCATTGTCTCGATGAAAATCCTAACTAGTCCACATATGTACAATTCACTGTCCGTGGCGAAGAGCTCAGCCGAACAGTAGCCATGGAAATATTTATCGAAAAGGTACAGGGAAGCAACGGCTGTAAGAAAGTGACTGAAAGAGTCGATATCAAGAATATTCCTGATTTTTCTTTGGATTTTATTAAGACTCTCTGAAAATGCAGGGTTTGCAAAAGACAAATCAGGTCGAAAATGGAGTACTACTGCAATACGTAGACTGGATCAGCTTAGTTTTTACTTTCTTCTCTTGACAAGTTGTGTATAGAGACCTGTGGGTGATGAATGATATTCCACCATAAAACCCATTTTCCACTATCGAAACGTTGTAAGTCTCTCGCTATTTCTATGGTTAACGTTCAGACGGGCTACATTCCTTAGTTCTACCAATTCTAACACCACAACTCGCCCCGCCGCGTACACTGAGGCCAACTATCCTCCTTACATTAGTTTTTTATTAGTAAGACCTAAGTTCTTCTTAAACAGCTTCATCGCACGAACTTCTACATTGGGGAACTGATTTCCAAGTGCATGCTTTACCGACAACTTGAATCTTCACGTCTAATGTTAATTGTTATCTTTCGCACAGATTCTCATAAATTGCCCCTCATGTATTTAACCAAACGATAACTACCTCGAGTGGCTCTTGAGCGTTGTATAGCGTGAAAATTATTTTAAAAAAACAATATTAAATCTATTTAAAAGAGGGTGGACAAGAGGTAAGTGGCATACTCCTCTTCAGAGATAACCTCCTTTAGATCCAAGTCTCGACCGATCTTTGCCTGTACTTCAGAACAATATTTCTCCAGCTGGAGCTCGAATTCAAACTACAATCTAAGAATACGGACAGCACCGTCCGTCCAACCAAAAAGCCTCAGAAGAGCGACATCCTTCAAGGCACGTAACCGCAAGCCGGAAGACTTGTTGCGGTTACTCTTGGCCTGTGTGACTTTTTCGTACCGGTCAAGTGCCTTTTGTACGACGTCAATGTCGTTGCGGCGACATACGAAAATGGATACATCATCGGCATACGCGGAAACCCTGGCGCGAGACCAACCAGGAACAGAAATTTCACGTAGGGCAGGACTACTCGCCCTGTCCCTAAGCCGGATAAGGAGAGGCTGTAACGCTAAAGGTAAAGTAGCGGTGGTAGTGGGCAACCCTGCGAGCCGACCGAGACAGCGCTTCATTCACCTGTACCACAGTACTGGGGACACGATACAGGAATCTAATTCACTTGAAGAAGTAGGATTTGAATCCGGCAGGACACCAACCAGTTACTAATGGTTGATCCTGTTAAATACCTTGAACTGATCCAAATTGATCAGCGCGGCTTTCTCGTCGTCTTTTACACCCTCGTACGGAGCAGATGCAGGTTGCCCTGAATTGTTCGGCCCTTCACAGCACAAGTCTGCTAGGGTTCCAAAAGAATTTCGGCAGCTGACTGCAAATGCTCCGTCAGTAACTTGGCCAAAATCCTTAACTCTGTGTTTAGCAGAGTCATAGTCCTGTAATCATCTAATGCCAGCTCAC